TCCGAGGCGGCGAGCCGGGAGACAAAAAGGTCGCGGAGGGTCAGCGATGTGATGGAGCAGGACGAGCGGCGGAGGAAGGCCATGAATTGGGTGTGATCCCACCGCATTAGCGTGGAGCGCGTCGCTATCTCCACCGTCTGCAGCTCGGGGGTCACGAGGACCCTGAACAACCGCTCGAGGCCCACTTGTGATGCTACGCTGAGCATATTCAGGTCGGCCAGGACCACGGGGAGGAGGGGATCAAACGTTGGGATAGCCTCGAGGAATTCGTGGCGGACGTCGAGCAGGTGGCACTCGAATAGGCGCGGGGCGGACTGTAAAATGAAGAGGCATGCAAACTCCGACAGCCGGGTCTCCAGGCGGAGCAGGGTCAGCTGTCCCCACGGTATGTCGGTGAAAAACGCGCGCGGAAATTTGCCAAGATGGCTCGTGAGGCTGTGAAGGAGAGGGGCAGAGGATACGGCGGCTGAAAGCCACGGAACGGCCAGTTCGCCGAGCAGGTGAGACCACGAGAAGGGCAGGATCTCGAGGCGCTCTAGCTGAGGAGCACCCTGTACAGTCAGCGATGTCGGATATTCAATTGGAGGTGCATGTTGGCTGAAGTCGAACGAGATAGTCCGCCAGCGATACATGTTGCGCAAAAACACTTCTAGTACTTGAGAGACGCCGCGGTCGCTCGAATCGCTGTCGGATGCAGTTGTCTCCGGCCGCCGTTGGCACACGAGGCATAGGGACAGAGGGTACGCGCCCGAAAGGCGCATCCAAGTTTCCACAACCTCAACAGGAGGTCGGGACCCCGCGTGGTTCGCCGTAACTTTTATTGTGGCCCAAAGTGAAGGAATGTCGAATGCGACGTCTCTCCATCGCTTGCAAGTCCGAGACAGGTTTAGCGGAGTGTCGGTTGATCTGGTAGGGTATGGATTTATGGTGTTATTGCAGTCGAGGAAGATGACTTGCAGGAGTTCGGGGGGAAGGTCGTCTATGCCCATGAGAATCAGGTTGGGATGAAACTATGACGCTGCTCGAGCACTGCATGTATCGCCGGGCATTGGATCCGAATGTCAGCGTGGGTATCATGGCAAAGGAAGATGACTCTAAGTCCTGAGCGCTAAAAAAGAGTTCGGAAAGGCAAGGCAAAGGTGTGGAAAGTAGAAAGAGGTAGAAAGACAGCCGTTGTGCCAATTCGGAAATGATGCGCTGATGGCCAGCGCTAGCGCGCATCTCTTCAACTCAAGTTCCTGTCCCAACGCTCATGTGCGCGTGCGGCTTTCCTCGAACTCAGTATGTCCCTCCAAACTGGTGGCGTGATTCAGCGAATACCGTAGATGCGCAGGCACATATGTATTGAAAGATGATACAGGCAAGGCGGCAAGAGCGTATTTCCAGGGCATTACCAAGCCAGGAAACCATCGATGGTCTGGCCCGGGGGCCAGGACGCCACCGGTCCAAAATACACAACCATGCCTTCTTCCACCACACGACGAAATCCGGACTGGGAAGCCAGCTCTTTGTTGAGCGACTCGATCGGGACCTTGTCAGGAAACACCAATTGAAACAACCGTAGCCTGGCAGCCCCCCACTTCCAATTTCGGAAGGAAATCGGAGGATCCTGTGAGCTGAGTCCGGATGTGCTCCATACCGGCGGCCCACGTCGGATTGATTTTGAGATGCACGACAGAGGGTACTGCCTTCAGGTATTGAATGAAGGTATCCGTCGTCGTGAGCAGGGAATACCACGCCAATTTCTGTAATTGAGCAGAGAATCGTGACGAGAAGGCGAGGAATGGTGATACATTGAGAGGGCGGCGACCATATGGGAAGTAAAGAGTGAGGCTTTTCAAGGAAGGTGCCGTTAAGGAATCAAGGACGGCATTGGATATGCCTTCGGCACTGGACGAGGCACCGCACTGCAAAGCTACCGATTCGATGTGGTGGATAAATGGTGGCCGGAAAATGTGCAGAGGCGAATCGTCATAAAAATCGAAGGTAGCGTCCGGGAGTTCTGGGGCATCGCGGAGAACCGCGATGCAGCCAGAAAGATCGATTTCATCCGCGCAGAATACGGTGAGTATGACCATGGGATGTCCAGCCGCTCAAGTGAATCATACTGCTGCACGGAAGCGTCGCGGAAGGACACTGGGGTATCCATGTCCCGTATGACCAACTTCTCGAGCAGAGGGAACGTTCCCTCCGCAGGCGTTACCAGCGATTCAAATGAATATGCGTAGGTCAGATCGATACTTCGCCATTGTGGTGTTAGGTTAGCGGTTCTTTGGAACGTGGAAACGCTTCTGCGGAAGGATTATCAGACGCGCACGAGTCTATGCACAGCGAGAGCGGGGTACTGGAGGCCCTAGAAAGCCAATTTTGGCAAAACTCGACGCCGTCTGGCCCGCCGATAATCTCTTTCTACTTCCAAATAGAAGGAGCTGCAGTTGAGCTGAAGAGTTGTGGGGTCGCCAGCGCTACCATCCTCCATTGGCGGCACACGCCACAGAGAAGAATAGGGGCGGTCGTGGCGTCGGGGGTGATGAATTCATCGTCGGGGAGGCACTGCATGAAGATCTTTCCCAAGATTTCAGGTGGGAGGATGAAGATAGGTCGAGCGATGGCGGCCTCGACAAATCTGAGCTGTCCGTTCTCAGCGAAGATGAGCGCACTTTGGTTAAACTCTAGTCGTAGATTCGAGAAGGGACCGAGAGCTGAACCGGCTGCGAAATTTGCAGGCCATAGGCGTTCCATTTCAAATGCATGGTTTTTTTTTGGCAAGCCCGAAGAAGCCTGAAGCCCGACGAAGCTTGGACGAAGCAAAGGGAAAAATTCAGTCCATCCCTAGTACGAACTAGCTGATAAACAATAGTAGGATTTGTCCGCAGGCGAAGAATGCCAACTGGGATTATCGCAGGCATTGATTGGTACAGCCTGAGATGACAGAGCTTCTGATGCGCCATGAGCGCAGCACATTGAAATACGCGATCAACAAACTTCAGCTCTTCTTTTGCTCTCATTCCACAACTTGAAAACGAACTTCTCGTAAGTACGGCGTTTTCGAATATAATCCCCGAGATTCATTTTCCCAGGTCGTTTGGGAAGTGCTCATCAAACCAATGGGGACCCTGGAGGCGGACACATTTTTTCTTATAGTGTCATCCGACCACCCTTACGCGAGCTCCTTTGAAGAACCGGAGGATCAGCAGAAGTTCTTTGACGCATTTGTCGCACTTCTTGAAAACCCAAAACAAAGCCGTTGCGTTTGCTGCTTCATTGGTTGTCTCGCGCTGATCGAAGATGATGGCGGAGGGAGAATATGCAACTGTCGCTGAACACAACCGCGGTGCGGTGGGCCTGTATCAGCATGCCTTCCTTTCCGCACTTGCATCCTGGATGAGCAAACCGCGCTCCGAAGAAGAATGCAAAACGCTCTGGGGCGCTCGCGACCCCAAAGAGGAGATGCGTCTCTGCAAGGAGGCCGGCTGCGATTTCGACGACCCTTTCGTTGCACTTTTGCACGAGATCGGTGTTGACCACCACTCCAGACCCGTGGCTCGCACGGCCTTCCGTATCATGTCGGCCACCCTTTCCGGTGCAGTACAGGCCACTAAAACGGCAAAATCCACCCGTCGGGTCGAAAGGGCTGTTGACACAGCTGGCGTTGGACGACCTTGGCCTACCAAAATCACCGATTTATTGGGGGACTTTCCTGTTGAACATTATTTCAAGCAAATGGAGGTGTGGATCGTTGCGTGGGCAGGTTATTCCGATCCCTATTGCATTTTGGGATCCCTGGCAATCCTCTACCCTCACCAGTTCCTCGCACGCATCGCCTATTCGACGAACGTTTCCGTCCACACCGTCGTCGTTCTTAATTTCATCAAAGAATGTTCTCTCAAAAACCTCAAATCCGGAGGAGATCTATTGACCGAGTTGGCATCGACCATGCATCTCGTCGACTCCCTGCTCAACGGGCTTTCTGAACCCTTGCTCATACAATTCATCCAAGTCAAGGGAATCGTCGCTGAGATCACCATATTATGCTCCGACCTTTTGAAGGAGGTCCCGCGCATGCTTTCCGACCTGGGACCTTTCCCTGGTTGGCGGGAAAATGAAGCTGATCGCTGCACGAAGACTTTGCTGCGTTTCGGGAGCACGATGCATGCCTATACAGGGATGGCAGACGACCAGTTCGACGGCGTTAAACTCGACAGGCGCATGCTGAGAATGTCCCATGCGAAGCGCCAAAGGGCAAGCGGGACCATCACCGGCGCTTTCGACGCGTTTTGCTCGCTTGCGGAGTGGCAGCGTTGCTTCGCTCCGGGCTGCACCTCAGTGGTGGCCGCTGCCGCACTTCTAAAGTGCGCAAACTGCGGGCGCGTGTTATACTGTTCCACGACCTGCCAGAAGGAGGCGTGGAAGCATCCTATCGCACCGCACAGAGTTCTCTGCAAACGAGCGAAGGCGTTGGCCAGCCACACTGGTCTTCCCCCTCGGCCACAGAGCTCTGCGGACCTAGATTCATTTTACCAGCGGATCGATGGCAACGAAGAGATGGAGAAGGTCGCGAAGGATTTCGGGGAGTGTTTCAAAAAACTGACCAACTCTCTGGAGCAAAGTACCTCCACTCGCACCGTGTAGTATTTTATCTTGAAGTTATTAGTCCATTGCAGTTTCTCGTGGCAAGTAGAACGTATAAGAACGGTACAATGGGTGTGAACGACCGTCTTCATCTGTATGTACCAATCAATGCTTGCGATATCGATAATCCCAGTCTTCGCCCGCGAAAAAAACCTACTGTTGTTTATCTGGCCTGCAAAATTGGCAGCTGGTTCAGCTCTTGGTCCCCCTCTCGAATCTGCGATTAGAGCTCGGGGAAAGACAAAGGAAGAAGAACCAAAAAGTTATATTCTTTCTCTCCAATTAAACTCCGAATGGGCGCGCGAGGAGAACGCATCTGAGTTTCTAGCGGACGCGGAGTCACAGCGCGGGGCCCGGCTCCAAAGTGGTGTCACCAAGCGGGATCGAACAGCCGACCTCCGCCCTGCGCTTTTTGGCCAGTAGCGGTGTTCTACCACTGAAATATATTGTCACGGCGAACCACGCATATCCATGTTACGTTTACCGGCTCCCGGCATTGGGCATTTCCCAATTTTCAATGTCGCGCGGTTTTCAAGTTCGAATCTACGAGGATAGCCCAATCCAAGGACGGGCTGTCAGATATCAGTGGATAACTTGCCGTATCGGGCTTGATATTCCTGATCGCGCTCCTCGGACGGGGATATCAAACGCGCATTTTACGCGCCCCGAAGCGGATGTGACGTCACGCGTCGAACCCTCCTGCCGACGCAAAGTCCCATTCTAAAATCCGTAAACAATAACAATGTGCGGGATTGTTCTTGCACAGTTCGAAATTGTACCGTGGTGGAACATTGGCCCCGAAGGAGGAACGCAGGCATTCGAAGAGACTGGGATGCCTAACAGACTTGGCCGCATGTCTCGCGTGTCCAGACATATCGCATGGCCCGGATGCACTGTTGGGACCAGCACTGGCTGCGAGGGTCCGGCGGCGGCGAACAAGGTCTCTTCGCCCAAATGACCTCTCTTTTTCCGATATCTGCTTCAACTTTTTAATGCTGGGGTTTCTAATAAATTACCCGAGACCTAGATTGCTTGTAGGGACCACTGCGATTCGAGGCTAGATGTTCGTACATCGTCGGCACGCAATGTGTGGCCCCGATCCACGGGACAAGGACGAAGGGGACGCTTGTGAAAGCGCATTCGATTTTGTAAGACGTTAGCGAGGCAGATATGTACAGTGGAGGCTCTGGAGCATTATATACATGGAGCCTGAAGTTCGGGGACTCAACACGAGGGCGGAAAGGAGATGGTAGTCCTCTGAGGCGCAGTGTATGAGTTTAAATCGGTTAGGATAAACTTGGACTGGATACAGATTGTCAAGTGAGGGCGAATGCGGTCTGAAAAGGCCGTCGCGGCGATGTGGTGATGACCGAAATGTCTTCTTGCGCACTGCATCTGAGTACTAACGTTAATATTGAGCCCCTGTGGCAATATTGTCTGGCCATGTACTTGCAGAGACATCAGGGCAATACAGTTTTCTTGTTTGTTTGACGGGCACTGCAGTAGGCTCGGAGATTGGGCATCGGACCTGCCATTGCACATCAAAACGAGGCCAAGTGAGCGCCAAGTGTGTGTTTTACCAGCGGCTCGGGGAACTCGTTCTCGTTATTGCCTCACTCGGGAAAGCACCGAGTGAGACGATTAAAATGACCCAAGGCGTGGGACCACGGAGAAGAACCGAGAGTTGCTGCGGAAAAGCCTACAGGAGGAGATAGTGCCTGTTGCATCGCCTTCCGGAGTTTTCGTGTCAAGAATTGTGATTCTCCCAGATTTTGCATGCGTTGGACGAGGATAATGTGGTTGAAACAGAGGCCAAAGCAGTATTTATTTAACGAGATTTGTGGATGCGGTAAGACAAAGATCTGCATTAAATGATCTGCGACAACATCAACGGGCGCAAATAAGCGCACGCTTTGTCTTCCTTCTTTCCGTCGGCCTTTCGTTTCCCATGCTTGCTTGACTCTCGACGCGGCTTTCTCTCATTTTACTCGCCATCTCGCCCTCCATTCCCTTGTAATCTCTCCTCAAGCGTTTGACCACATAATATCAATAATTCGCCATGTCCACCTCGTGTACCTCGTCGGCGACCGCAACGACGACAGTGAGCGCGATCCTGTGTCTGCTGGATGGCCCTAACGTGCCCTCCAGAGTTTCACCACATCCGATTCGCTATTAACGACCTTTACTGAGAGTACCTCCACAGCAGCGCCGACTGTTACAACGATAACCTCCTCCGGGTGTGCTGTCGGGAATTCAAGCGATTCCGCATGCCTCCTCTCTACCTCCACCACTTTTACTTCCACCATATCGGGTGCGTGTGTCGTTCACGGCCGTGCGCAAACTTCTCAAGCGGCGCGGCAGGAGATGTAACAACGATACAGGTCCCTGTCACCGAAACATTCCCGGTTACTAGCTCCCAGATCCTCACCCTCTTTGGCTCGTCATGTACCGTCATTTCGGCGACCACGACCCACAGTCAGCCGCCATCGTCCTCCGGGTCCGGGTCCGGGTCTGTGTTTCTCTCACTGTCGACGCCAGCCCCCTCCATCTTTACCTCCGAGTCACAAACCATATTAGCAAACGGCCAGACGTCGTCCATTTTGGAGACGATCACGTCTAACTTCCCGGCGTCGGTCGTCTATGTCACCGCCTCCCCCTCCAGCACGCCTGGTCTCCAGTCAAACCAAGACAATAGCGGCGGCAATTCCGCCGGGACGAATATCCCCGCCGTCGTCGGTGGAGTGGTCGGCGGATTCTTTGGCTTGCTGGGTATCGCGCTTATCCTCTGGTTCGTCGGGTGCGCATCGTTTTACGCTTTCGTTCCTGCCCAACACTCGCTAATTAATTGATTCATCTCAGGAAACGAAGACGCCGATGGGATGATATCTTCGACAAAGAAGACGCCATCGCCCCTCCGCGGCCCACCAAAAGGTTCTCGCTGGACGCCGAGATCGAGCCTAAGCCCTATCAGTACGGACTCGTGGGGCAAACCAGGTCCCCCTCGGCCGGCATTTCCCCACCGAGCTCTCCAGCGCTCGCCCCCGCGGTTGGCAGGCAGCATGCCCTCTCTCCCCTCCTCCTCCCCACGGCCGCGAGCACCCCCGGTCCCAGCGCCACGACGATCTCCTCCCGGCCGTCCACCGCCGGCTCCATGCGACCTCTGCGCGCCGCCACGGGCTCGCCGCCCGCGGGCCCCACACACAGCCACACGACGAGCAGCGGGAGCAGTACGAGCGTGCAACACGTCCCCGCGCTGCCGTCGCACTGGGGGCACCACAGCCCGAGCCCGAGCGCGGGGCAGGAATACTTTGAGCGCGCGGGCTCGCCGACGAGCGTGCGCGACTACGAGCCGCAGCGGCGCCTGCAGCTCGCGAACGTCGGTGACGACGGGCTCGGGGAGTCGCTGCCTACGGCGTCGCCGCTCGGCCCGGCGATGCTCGACGGCAAGGGGCGGAATGTGCGGCTGGGGTCGGGGGGCGCGGGGGTGCTGGTGCATACGGACGCGGGGCCGGTGCCGGAGGGGTTCCAGCCCTAACGCGCCGTGTCTAGTTTCTCATCCTTCTTCTACTACTTAGTATGTACGTGTTCAGTTCTCGCGACCTGGTGGGTACATGCGCTGCGTGTGCCTGACCGATGATTACGCGCCTTCTAGTGCATATAATACTTTATGTTCTTCTGTCCTCGTTTCAGAGAACTCTTTTACTTTCACATTTCTTTACTTTCCCCGGCGCGGGGATCTCGCCAATTTTTTTTTCCATTTCTTTTGTATTTGGGATGCAGCGCAGAGAAAATAGAGTGGCAGGCGTGGATCCCTGAGTGTGCACGCTTTTCGTTTGCAGGCAACTTTGGCAAGTAATTGAGAGAATTTCGTCAACAAGAAGAGAATGTAGAAATCATTGTGTGGAAAATTATCAATTATTCGTGCCGTTCCCACTTACATACTACTGCACATCACCCACAGTCAGCCCCAGCTCTCTTGACAGACTGACCATTCGTAACCTGGGATCTCGCCAAGTTTTTATTTATTTATTTATTGTGTATTTGGGATGCAGCGCAGAGAAAATAGACGGTTGACTGGCAGGCGTGGATCCCTGCATGTACATGCTTTTCGTTGGGATGCAACGGCTGGCAGATAGAAAAGTACAATAACTTGTAGAAATAACTTGGTGCATTGTACTTACGTAACATGCCATCTTCCAAACTGGGAACAAACACCTTTTTGTTTGCGTCGTTCATTGTCCGGCTGAAATTCCTGGCTTTCCTTGCCCAAGAAGCCTCAAAAAATGCTCTGAATAAGGACTGTATCTGTGGAATTTGCGTGCCCATCTTGCGCGCAGAAAAAAGCGCCATACGCCGCTGCTTTTGTTTCCGGGCGGGAAGCGCGCTATTGTTCTCCATCCTTGTTTCCATTGTCTTCTGAATGGGGATAGAAAGCGAGAAGAATGCAGGCCTTGTGTATCCCGGTGTTATGCCACATAATGGCGCGTAGCCGGTCAATGGTGTCCCTAGCCGACCTTGAAATAAAAAGCAGGCATGCTGTTAGGGTGGGTCCAGTGGTCTACTCACCCTTACAAGCTCACAACAACTCACCTGGTGCCGGGCCACCTTTCTCATTCTCATCTCATCTAGACTTGACTGGACTTGACCTTACGAGCCTCTCTTCACGCCATTGTCCGACCGTTCTAGACAATCTTACGCTCATTCTCCAACGTTTCTGCAACAGCACCACCAAAATTTTTACTTCTCTTTCTTGAATCTTCAAAGATGCCTCGTCCTCAGACACGTACGCCGCCTCCACTCTTCATTCACACGAAGCTAATTGTTTCTTTGCAGTTATTTTCTTCGGCCTCAACGCCGTTCGCTTCCTGAGCGTCGTAGCCCTACTCCTTGTCTTCTCCAGCTCCATCCTGGTCATGGTCACGAACATCAAGGCCGTCAATGCTTTCCAGGCGAACCGCATCGCGAACTCTACGGACGTCATGCTGGAATGTGACTACATCGAGTGCGTGGCGCAATCATGTCCCGAGGAAGATTGGAGCTGACATTATCGACAGAGGGAGCACCGTGCCCAACCAACCTGCCGGCGTCTTCTGGTCTGTGGTCGCGAGCCTGTTGATCATCTTCCAGGTCATAATCCTCCTTTGTACGCACTACTTTTCCATCTTTTCGAGCCCCCGGCTAACCGACCATGTAGTCTCCGAATTCGGCTGGCCTGCTGTCTTCTTCGACCGCTTCTTCCCCGTCCTCGGCGCCGACTTTGGCCTGGGTGCTCTCGGTATCTTCCAGTGCCTGTAAGTGGCGTTCCCTCGTGTCCCGAGAGATACATCGGCTAACGAACCCGCAGCATCGGCGCCCAGATCCTCTCGCACCACGTCGACGATTTCACCCTCGTCTCCGCCTTCTTCCTCTTCTCCATTGGCTGCCTTAACATGCTCCTCGGCCTCATCTGGCGCGAATCTGCCAAGACCAAGCGCTCCCTCCGCGCCTCCAAGGGTGCCGGCGCACCCAAGGGCATTATCGCCGCGGACATCCGGCCCCAGTTCGTCAACGAGCCGTACTTCGTCGGCGCGCGCGACGTCGCCGGCCCGGAGAATGTCGACGAGGCGTCGTTTGCGACGTGGCGCAGCACGGACAAGGCGAGCTACGGGTTCGGGCGCCAGGGCGAGAAGGCGGCGGGCCTGCGCGGGTTTATACTCCAGCGCCCAGAGGAGAGCCTCCCGCGGTACGCGTCGCCCACGCCGACGTACACCACACCGCCGCGCGAGAGCCGCGAGTCGTCTCCCGCACGCAGCCCTGCACACAGTGCCCGCAGCGAACGTAGCGAGCGGAACGCGCGCAGCGCACGCAGCGCGTCGTCACGCAGCTCCTCGTCCGACTCGCGCAGCTCGACCTCGAGCTTCGCGTCGCCCATGTCGTACCGCGAGACGATCGAGATCCCCGACGACTACGAGCACCGCCCCGAGTCGCCGCAGCCCATGCCCGTCCCGCTCCACGCCGCGTTCTCTGCGCGCTACGACCGCAACCCCGCCGCATTCTGAGCCCTTGCCTGTTCTAGTGCCCCGCCCCACCCACCCACGAGCCTTGTACGACCTACCACACACAAAAACGACAGAAACGCGCGGTGCATGCTTGCGTGCACCCACCCCCACCGGACTTGTACGGACTGCTACGTCACGCTCTTTGCACGACACTACAATACGCGCCGGCTAATTTGTAACATTATCGCTGTATTATTTTTCTGTGTAGCTCTAACAAGGAAAGGTCTAATCCATTGTGGTTTTAAGAATCTAGATGTGGGGGAGTTGAGACAGTCCGAGTCGTGAGTTAGGATATAATTCAGTGTTTACCACGCACTTTCGGGTTTCGGGCTGTTTCGGGTCCGGTTTCGGGTTATCGCAGCCCACCTGCATCTTTCTTTCGATGCGTCCATGCCCGTATCCTTCAAAATTCGCAGCCGGTTCAGCTCTCGGTCCCCTCTCGAATCTACGACTAGAGTTTAACCAAAGTGCGCTCATCTTCGCTGAAAACGGACAGCTCAGTTTTGTCGAGGCCGCCATCGCTCGACCTATCTTCATCCTCCCACCTGAAATCTTGGGAAAGATCTTCATCCAGTGCCTCCCCGACGACGAATTCATCACCCCCGATCCCAAAACCGCGCCTCTTCTACTCTGTCGCGTGTGCCGCCAGTGGAGGATGGTCGCGCTGGCGACCCCACAGCTCTTCAGCTCCTTCTATTTGGAAGTAGAAAGAGTCACTATCGGCGGGCCAGACGGCGTCGAATTTTGCCAAAATTGGCTTTCTAGGGCCTCCAGTACCCCGCTCTCACTGTGCATAGACTCGCGCCCGTCTGATAATCCTGCCGCAGAAGCGTTGCCATTGCTTCAAAGAATCGCCAACCTAACACCACAATGGCGAAGTATCGATCTGACCTACGCATATTCATTTGAGTCGCTGGTAACGCCTGCGGAAGGAAGGTTCCCCCTGCTCGAGAAGTTGGCCATACGGAAGATGGATGCCTCACTGTCCTTCCGTGACGCGCCTAATCTGCGCGACGTTTCCGTGCACCCGACTTATGATTCACTCGAGCGGCTGGAACTTCCATGGTCACAACTCACCGTATTCTGGGCGGATGAAATCGATCTTTCCAGCTGCATCGCGGTCCTCCGTGATGCCCCCAAACTCGTGGATGTTACTTTTCATTTATATGACCCTTCGCCTTCATACATTTTAACTTCCCACCCACCATTTATCCGCCGTCTCGAATCGTTGACTTTGTCCTCGCCCGATGGCGGAGCCAACGGGGACATCTTAATCAATGCCGTCCTCGATTCCTTAACAGCACCTGCTTTGAAAAGCCTCACTCTTCGCTTCCCATATGATCGCGGCCCTCTCAATACATCACCATTCCTGCCCTTCACGTCACGATCCTCTTTTCAATTACAGACATTGGCGTTATATTCCATGCCAACGACAACGGAGACCTTCATCCAATGCCTGAAGGGAGTGCCCTCAGTCGTGCATCTCAAAATCGATCCGCCGTGGGGTGCCGATATGGCGCGCATCTGGACCCACTTCACAGGATCCTCCGATTTCCTTCCCAGATTAGAATCATTCCATGCCATTTTCACCCAGTATTTGTGCCCTATGTGGACCGAAGAGATGCCTGCTCTGGCTAAAATGCTGTCTTGGCGGTGGGCCGCGGTGGGAATCGCCAGGCTGCGATCGTTTCGATTGGCATTTTCTCGCACCGGCAGCATCCACAAGTTTCCGTTCGAATCACTCAGCAAAGAGTTGGCTTCCCGGTCCGAGTTTCGTCGTGTGGTGGAAGAAGGCATGGTCGTGTATCTTGGACCAGTGGCGTCATGGCCCCAGACCATTGATGAATTCCCTGAATCTGAATAATACGGTTTATCGTCATACAATATTTTGGAGTCCCCGTGTAGCTCTAACATAGGCCGATTTTATCGTAGTTTGAACAAGAGGAATTTGCAGAACCGTTCAAAGTTCATGATATGCACCTTCCCAACAAGCCCTTGTTCCAAAAGCGTACTCAGTCTGCGCACCTCCATCAATCATGCTCGTGGTGCACGCGAGATCAAGATACTTCAGTGTCCCGATATGTACGCGCTGGCGCCTGGGTATGCCCCTCCAATCGCGACTCGAGCATGCGCGCCAGCCCATCATCCGTCGTCGTCCGCAACACCCACTTCACATGCCGCACGTCGCTTAGGCCCCGATCGGGTGCCCTGCCTACACCACCGTTTGATCAGCGCACCCCAGCGGAAGACTTCGCACTTATGTAAAGGCCTGTTAGGCCTATTCTTCTGTATGAGTGAAATACCCCTAAGAGGGGTCGACGGCAGCGAAGGAAGAAGCCAAGAAGCACGTTACGGCACATTCCCCATTTGGACCCCGCCGCCGTGTCTGCTCTTTACCACCACCGCCGCTCCTGCTACGTGTCGGTTTGTCTCTCCTGTGCTCCTCTCGTCGTCGCCTCGGCTCGAGCAGCTTCAGATCGATACAATATGATACTGACGGCGATCGTGGGCCGTGATGTCGACAATTGGCCTGTTTCCCACGACACTATAGCTTAGTGGTTGAGCATACGATTGCAACTTGCAGAGTTATCGTGAGGTCCCGTGTTCGAGCCACGGTAGTGTCTTGTTTTTTGCTCCCGCAGTCACCTCAGTTGCCCTGAAATACGCCCCCTATTTATAAAATTACCCGATTCGGGAGTCGGCGGTGATTGTGTATGTTGCGATCAGAGGGCAAAATCAAACAGCGACATTAATTTTGATGTCTCTCAGACTTATACCGCGCCTCACTCTTTTCTCAGGTGCTAGTTGTCCACTGTGCGAGGTACGCGCGTATTCTCTCCCACAAACTTCTCGCAAATATGTCCTCAGCTAGCAAAAATTGAGCTTAATCGCGTCAGGCAAACCGTTAGTCTCCAATCAAGTTCTTCCTTCAGGCTGTAGAGCAATTGACACTGTGCAGCGGCCGTTCCAGCTCGAGACGATCGACATCCACGCGCCAGGCAACGCCGCCTGGAAGAAGAAGTATGTGTACTGGATCCCGGCGCTGCACTTAGACGGCGAGGAGATCGCGAAGGGCCGCTGGGACGCGAAGGACGTGACGAAGGCGCTGGAGAAATGGGATCAGGACCATCCGGGAGAGACGGAGCAGTGAGGAGGGAACTGGAGTCTGAAGCACGGGATATGGAAGAGGGAAAAATAAAGGAAGGGGGAGTGGAATCGCGGACGCGCGAGGATGGTGTCGAAGACCGTGAAGACGATTCGCAAGCAGGCAAAGAGCATGGCGGAGAAACCACTGCAGACGACACTCAAACCGAGGTAGCTTCGCATTTTCTTTCGAGCAACCTGTTGGCGTCATTTTGCTCTCTGTGGCTTCAGCGATAAAATCACTTGCTGCTGAAAATTATCTCCTTGGAACCGTGCTCTACTCTGTCCTTTCGTCTTTTGTAAATCCCTGGGCTTGATTCGTCAACCCCTTTTGCTGGCCGACATACTCTCTTCGATGCCTCCCAACTTGGGACTTTATCTTTCGTTCTGTTCCTTTTCCCGTTCATATTCACAAACTGACACGATTCTCAGCTCCCATCCCTCCCCTTCTTCACAGAGTCCTACCCCATGCACCAAGGCGCTTGGGAACCGTCGGGATTCTACATCCGCAACGTCGACGACCCCACCGCGGAGGACATCCACCCCCTCGGCTCTGCTGACCGCCCGCCCACACCAGATGCCTACACCGCCGCGGCCGCCAAGTGCTTCAACTGCGGCGCGCCGACGCACGTCCTATCCGCCTGCCCGAACCCACTGGACCGCCCACTGGTCGCACTCTCGCGCCAGATCCACGAGTTCGAACGTGCGCGCGCCGGGGACGCGGACGGTGCGCCGCGCAGCCTGAGGGAGGTCGCGGAACGGCTCGAGCGTGCAGCGTGGACCGGCGTGTTCGTCCCAGGGAGCGTGAGCCCCGCGCTACGGCGCGCGTTGAGGTGGCGGGGTGGTCGGGACGAAGATCGGGCGGCGGAGGAAACAGCCCTGAGGGAACAAGAGAAAGCAGAGGTGGGCGAGGAGTATGAGGAGCACGGTGCGGGGTTCGAGTGGCTCTCCAATATGGCGCACTGGGGGTACCCACCCGGTTGGGTCTCTGCGGTGGACCCGCGCGAACGGATGCTTGCGCGGATATTCCACAAGCAGGATCCGGCAGACGGAGGTGCAGAGGAGGAAGAGGAAGACATTATGATGATTTGGGGCGATGGTGGTCCTGAGGAGGTCGTGCTATCTGGGAATGACGGTGGGAATGACAATCATGGCGAACTAGCGACCGAAGACGCTGACAGCGATGGTACTGAAAGTGAGGTTGAGGGTGAGCAGGCTAGTGTCCGGGCGCTGTCCGCAAATCCCGCAGCACCGGTGTCCAAGCGCTGGGCGCACTACCCACCGACGCACTTCGCATGGGAACGACTTACAGTCTACAATGGCACGCTTCTTAGCCAGCGCAATCGCGGCCCTCCGCCACCGTCCCTACCCACTCTTCCGCCCCCACCCGAGCCGGAGGGCCCGCCTCCACCGCTCCCCCCTTCACTTCCACCTCCGCCCCCACCCCCTCCTTCGCTCCCGCATCCGCCCCCACCGCCTGGCACGCCCGGACATGCATATTATGGTTATTATAACAGCTACGGCTACCCCTACGCAGGGCCTGGCCCGGACCCCCCGCGCGCGCAGCAGATGGGCACATATCAGTCCCGGCTTGACTACCACCTACCGTCTGTGCAGCCCAGCCCCCGTGATAGGAATGACCCTGTGTTTCCGCCGCTGCAGCCTATGAGCCGGGAGCAGGATGTGAACGATGATGAGATGGAGATGGATCTTTCGGATTAGCGGGGTGTGAGATGTACATATTGTTGACTTCCGGGTCTTTGATTGAGATATACTACCTACTGTACTTCTACATCTTGGCGATACCGCGCTCCCTTAAACTTCAAAATTGACTTATAGTGTACGAACTCGGAACAGAATGCCCGGTTTTATTATACAAGAACGATGAAACGTCTTTCGAGAGATTAATGAGGCCTCATGTGGGCTATCTTCATTGCAAGATGTTATGTATGTGTATTGCCGGGAAGGCGGACGAAATTAGACCACAGCGTCCTACGCTCGAAGCATGGTTTTGTATGGTCGACAGGGGCGGATTCATTGACAAAATCGTCCTTCTGGCAATTCATCAATGAACTCCTTCCGCCCAAGATACATAACCATGCCTTCCTCCAACGACGAAACGGGTTAGGAAACCAACTCCTTGTTTAAGGACTTAAAAGAGACCTCATAAGGATAAGGGGCTGCCCACCGAAAGGATCGCAGCCTGGCGACTCCTATCGCGGCCCACCTCCAAGAAAGCATTTTAGCCATGTCTTCGATCCCAAGAAGACGAATGCTGGGTGAAAATAACATGAAATGACTCCAACTTGGGAAGAAAGTCGGAAGATCGTGTGAGCTGGGTCCAGATGTGCTCCAGTTCAACACTCCACGTCGGATAAATTTTGAGATGCACGACTGGAGGTACTGCCTTCAGACATTGAATAAAGGTCTCCGTTGTCGCTGGCATGGAATATAAAGCCAATGTATGCAGTTGGAAGGAGGATCGTGACGAGAAGGTCAGGAAATTAGATGATACATTGAGAGGGTTACAAGCATATGGGAAGCAAGTAGTGAGGTTTTTCAAGGCAGGTGCTGTTAAGGAATCGATGACGGCGCTGATTATGGTGTGCCCGTTAGATTTCCAGATTGCACACAAAGTTAACGATTCGATGTGATGGATAAACGGCGATTAGGAAATCTGTGGTCGGGAAAGGGCTCGGTATCAAAGTGGAAGGTGCCCTCCACGAGCTTCGGGGCGTCACGGAGGACTGCAAGGCAGTCAGGAAGATCGATGCCATCAGCCCGAAATACGGTGAGCTGTGAGAATGGAAGTTCCAGCCGCTTGGGTGCATCATAGTGCAGCACGTAAACGTCTTGCAGATTGGGTGCGTCGCGGAGAGAGCTTCGGTGGTTCCGGATTCACGGTAAGGCCAACTTCTCGAGCAGAGGGAATGTTCACTCCGCAGGAATTACCAGCGGTAGGCATGAGTATGCATCCGTCGCACAATAGGAGGGGCGCATCTGCGGGATTGGGGTCCAAGAATTCGTAGGGGGGGAGACATTGGATGAAGATCTCTTCCAAAATTTCATGTGGTAGGGCAAGGGTCGGCCGATAGCTACGAATTGGGGCCGTCGGTTTTTGTCGAAAATGAGTGGTCTGGTTCTGAAACACTACTCTACGATTCGAGAGAGATCCAAGACCGGGACCGAGGGCGAATTTCGAGGGACATGAGCGTTCCATTTTGGTTCCATTCCAAAAGCGATCGTGACCTTCGGAGGTCGGGCCGAAATTTCATCATAAATTTTAATAATAAAATGCATATGCATATGTAAAGCTCGTGCAAGATCTTGTGTGATGACACTGACAGTAGACGGAGAAGAGAATGAATCCGTCACTTCTCCAAATATCTCCCAGGGAGCAGTGTTCGAGTGTCAATATTAATTCAATTCAAATATCTGTTTCGCAAGGTTCCATCCAGTGCTTTAAATTTTAGCCCTAGTATGGCACGAAGCTACATCTCTGAATCGGAGACCCCGCCCTTCTCTGGACTCTTCAAAAGATTCGAGAGGACCCCGAGTATATGCGAGTTTTCCGCTTTCTGCTCAGTCGTCTGCATCTGCGGGGAGGAGTAAGGTGCCGTGGCGCGATGCTCCACTGCGAAGGGGATGGGCGGCTTGAACACCGGCGCCTGCACCTTCGGGCGGTTCGTCAGCTTGTCGCCCGTCGTCTTTGCGGTTGGTTTTGCGCCGGTGTCTGCGCCTGCGTCGGCGCTCGTATTCCGTCTTCTGTCACGTGGGAGCGTGCGGGGCGCGAAGTCACGCGGGGTGAGCTCTTTGGTAAGGCTCCCGACGGCGACGTATTGGCGCGAGCCGGGCTTGTACGGGTTCTCGGCGGTCGGGTCGAAGATGCCCTGCTTCGCGGTGACGCGCGCGTTCACGCGCACGCCGTCGAGGCCTTCTGGGTCGGGGCCGACGACACGCGGGACGCTATGCAACATCAGCGGCGAATTGTTGGTGAGGCGCATCTCCGCGACGGCTGTGGGCCAGTTCTCGCGGTCGACGCCGGGGCGCATGAGCGGGAGCCGGCCGTCCGCCTGGCTCTTGACGAGCGTCGCCGCCATCCCCGCGAACGACACGACGTAGTGCTTGTCGTCGTTCCTCCCGATCGGCTCGTCGGTGAAGCGGCCTCTTTCGGCCGTGTCGTGGAGGACGATGCCGGGCCTGCGCGGGGTCTGGAAGAGGGTGTCGACCATGGACGGGTGCGCGTACATGAGCGCGCCGTTGCGGTGTGGCTGCGGCTGGAGCTTGGCGTTGCTCGCGGAGGTATACTCGGCGTGCGTGTGCTGTGCGAGGAATCGACGATGGTAAGCGGTAACAGGGTTCTGCGCAATCTGGAGGAAGCTTTGTTTTTCGAGCGGCACATCCTCCTGATCAGATACTGGGGGCGGGCTTGGTGCTGTCATTAAGGCGGCTCGCAGTGCTTGCTCTTCTTTCCACCGCT